GCGTCGCCATTATTCCGGGGCTGGCCGTGATCCAGAGCTGTGCGTGCCTTGCCCCGCACTGCCTCGCCTCGGTCTGACCGAGTCCCTTCACATGGGTGTGAGGATTTGCGCAGGTATCTGAGCTTCTTCCCAGTCCAGCCCGCCCCTAAACATCCCTGAATGGCCTGGGGCAGGTCATGAGGAAGGACAGTTAAGGAGTTAACCTTTAAAAGAGAACAGGAGGTATTTGATAGAGCAAATGGAATGTTTTGTTGTGCATGAGGCAGAAGTTATGCTCTTAATTTTTTCTCCAGGTTTAAGTGTATATTTATAGGCTTTTAGGAGTGCAGGGTTTTACGTAGACAGATTTCTCTCTTAAAGGAGAAAAGAAAAACATTGTCCCCCACCCCATGTCTTTTTAAGGCCGCAGTCGAATTCATGCTCACCTTCCACGATCAGGAAGTGATGTTTTTCCAATTGTCTGAAGTCAGGTCTGCACACTTCCTTGACAACGTTCCTCCTTCCTGTCGGGGGTGGGTCCCTGGGGCCAGACACGCAGCAGGCTCCAGCCTCGTGTGCCAACTCAGAAGTCAGGAGCCACAGTGTCTTCCAGACGTGGATCTGGGGTATGGGGCTCAGACTTCTCAACTGGGACGTGACTGGAAACCAGTACAAGCCCCAGCACACTGCAGCCGAGCACACGCGCTCTCTTCCTCTCTGCACTGGTGTCTGGTCGTCCTTCAGTTAGCCTGGTCATTAGAAGTGCCTTGGCCAACACCAGAGCCAACGCACAGAGGATGTGGAGTTAGCCAAAGTGTGTTGTCACCACTAAGAGCAGAGCTGGGTGTTTCTCAGACTTTATCTCAAGTTAAGTGCTCACAACCACCTCCCAGGATAGAAATATTCCTATTATTTCCATTTTACAGGTAAAAACCAGGGTTTAGAGAGAGGAAGAAACTTGTCTAAGGTTATGCTCAGTGTCTTCTTGGTTTGAATTCTGACTGGAAACACAGCGTGTGACAAGGATTTGAGTGAAAGTGGCTTATTTGGGGTGTTCAGGAAATATCAGTAAAGTCATGGGAAAAATGGACACAAGGACTGGCCGCTAATAAAGAGTGTGATATCAAGCCAATGGGAGAACAGAATGCTACCCTGCGAGGAAACCTGGAAATAGTGTATGACGTATGCCTCGGAGTTATCCCTTCCAGAGCGTGAGGGAGATGGACTGTTTTTTATACCGAATTCTGTTGCTCATTGATGAAGGGTAGGGTGCAGATGGAGTGTTAATTTCCCAGCTTGGACAGAGCCCTTGCCAGGGCTTTGGAGAAAGCCCCCGGGCAGAGAGATCCAGATCCCGGTAGTGGGAAGCCAGCCAGTCTGCATGGAGTGGTGAGCCCAAATAATATGAGTTGGGAATAAAGTGTCTACCACACACAGCAAATGACAGAGCCATTTTTAGTTACCTCTTGCTGCAGAACAAACTACCCTACAACTTAGCAGCTTAAATCAACAACCATTATATGTGTTCATGTTATGGGTCTGCAATTAGGGCTGAGTTCAGCTGGACTGTTCTGCTGGGCTCACCTGGGGTCACTCATGTGGTAGCTTAACTAGGAGCTGCTTATTCTAGGGAGACCTCCGCTGGGACACCACCTCTCACCATCTGGCCTCATCCACCAGCAGCTAGACCAAGATTCAGCTAACTTTTGTGTAAAGGCTCAGGTACTAAGTATTTTTGGCTCTGTGGGGCATTTAGTCCCTGGTACAACTATTCAACTTTGTTATAATGTGAAGGCAGTCATAGATACTACATTAACAAATGGGCACGACTGTTTTCCAGTAAAACTTGATTTACAGAAGCAGGTGATGGGGTGGATTAGGCCTAAGAGCCCAACTCTGCCGGTCCCTGAGCTCAACCAAACTTCATCACATGGGGCTGCGAGTTCCAGAGAGTTAAGGCAGCAGCTATCAGGCCTTTTGATACCTTGGCCCAGAAGGCAGATGGTGTCCCTTCTGTTACATTCTATTGCTCAAAGCAAGTCACCAGCCCAGCCCAGGCAGGGCAATAGACTACCTTCTGATGGAGGGCTCTCCATCATCCTATCACAAAGTGATGTGCATTCAAAGATGGGAGAAATTTTTGTGTCCGTCTCTACTAACAGTTTACCCTTTAATTCCAGAGTCCTCTAAATTAGTCCGCACTCTACTTGCTCTCTATATTGCCTCATGTAACTTGTTGGGGAATGAGGTCAGGAGGCGAGGCAAATCCTGACAGTTATATTATACTAGTCCCGGAATCCCTCCCCACACGCACTTCCTCCGGCACGCAGCCCCGCCCTCCCACACAGAAAGAGTCCCACAGCCACCACCCCCGCCACCACCACGGGAGGCAGGGCCCAGAAACCCGCCCGCGCCTCCGGTCAAGTCCTCCAGAGTCAAGTCCCCACCCACCTGCGCACGCCTGCTGCATATGCAGCCTCCTGATCGGTTGTTAGGGCATGAGGGTGTCATGTCCATTAGCATATTAGCTCTTTATTCAGTCCAAAATTGGAACAAGGTCTTTGCTGCTCCAGAGTATGCGCTTTGTGTCTTTGGTGTGTTAGTTCTCGGCCTTAGAAATAGACTTTGAGCATCCTAGAAGGTTTTCTAGTCCACCCACTTACCGCTTATATGAAGGAATCACTTCTATAAACTGTCCAGCAAATGACTGTTGAGCTTCTGTTGGATGACCCCTTGAGACAGGAAGCTCACTGCTCCAGTTCTTTTTCCTTCAGTTATTTGTATGGCTCACCCATCCCTCTGTTCATCAAATCATTCAGCCAAGTGTTTAATGAATGCCTCCTGTGTACCAGGTCACGAGTTAAGTGATGTACAAATAAGCCCAGTAGCTTATCTAATCAAGCTTAAGGCCAGTTCATCTCCAGCATGGCTCCTGTTTTCAATTTTCTTCTTGTTCACATAACTTTTTGTTCTTTATGGTTTTTGTTCTTTTAGGTCTAGAATAGTTGTTCTTAACTCAGGATATTTAAAAATACTCTCCCCTTCTTTCTGAAATGAATTTTATTTTTTTCCTGAAATGAGTTTCACAGATACATAGGTATCTACACAATTTCAAAAGAATCAACATAATACATTAACTATAATTAATAAAACGTAAAGGGGAATTAACATAATAAAATCATGCATATTTTCATAAGTAAATATTCTAGGATTAAACAAGATTAAGTAATTGGATGTTAACAGCAGACATAGAATCAGGTTTATACCAGGGGTTTGGCAGTATTTCTGTGAAGAGTCAGCTAATAAATATTTTAGGTTTTGTGAGCCATTCTCAGCTCTGCTATTGTACTGAGAAAACAGCCATAGACAATATGTAAATAACAAGCATGGCTGTGTTCCAATAAAACTTTATTTACAAAAGCAGGCAGCAGGCTGGATTTAGCCAGCTCACCATGGTTTGCTGACTCAGTGTATACAACAGCTATGAATGAAGACTGATGAGAATATGGGTGTGGACAGTTCAAAATCTTCAAGAGCATTACTGTCAGTGATCAGATTTTTTCAAAATGGTGATGAGTACCATTTGGCAAAGTTCTGAAGAAAAATAAAGTGTAATCCTGCTGTAATCTATGTAGTAGTTACTTCTGTAGGAAATTCAATGTACAATATTGCCTGGCTCCCCCAAAGTTTTGCATTTTTCATAACCTTAGATAATTAATTATGCACACATTTCTCCTCTACATGAATGTCCTGTGGAATATTTAAAAGATAGAATTCTTTTTTGTGTCGAGGACTGAACTGAAGAAGATTTGGCCTCTGTGGCCACTGTCCACTAATGGCTTCTGTGCTCCTCAGGCTTTGTGACCACCAGAAATTACCTCCCTCCCCTTCACTCTACCTCATCCCTGCCAATTTCTTCAATAAGTGCAGTACCAGTCACTAATGACAACCACAGTTCTAGTCGTCTGCTCAGGCTGCCACACAGAATACCATAGCCTGTATGGCTGAAACAGCAAAAATTTATTTCCTCACTGGTCTGGAGGCTGGAAGTCCAAGAGGTAATTTCTCCTGAGGCCTCTCTCCTTGGCTTGCAGGCAGCCACCTTCTTGCTGTGTCACATGGCCTTTCCTCTGTGTACGTGTGTTCCTGGTGTCTCTTCCTCTTCTTATAAGGACATCAGACTTATTGGATTAGGGCCCACTCTATGACCTCATGTAATCTCAATTATTTCCTTAAAGGTCCTACCTCCCAATGTAGTCACATTGGCAGTTAGGGTTTTAACATATGAATTTTGGGGAGACACAATTCAGTTCATAACACTGCTTCCCCTACACTGCCTAGCTCAATCTTTTCATCCTACCCTTTCTTCAGGGCTATGGGAAGTTCACTCCTCAGCACAGCCTTCCCAGTCCAGGGGAATGGAAATAACGAAGCACGCTGTTTTACATGTCACCTTATATTTGGCAGCGTACTTTCATGTAAATATCCAACTGTTTTCTGAAAGTCTCCTTGCCTTTTTAAAAAGTATAAAAAAAATTTAAAATTACAGAAAAATAGAGTGATTTGGCAAATACCCAGGGATCTACAACTCCAATTTAACAAAGGTTAAGAATTTTTGCTGTATTTGATTCAGCTTAATTTTATGAACCAAAACACTACAGGTTCAACTTAATGCCTCCTATGCCACTTCTGAGTTCCATCCCTTCCTCCTTCCTTGAAGTTGGTCTGTTTCTTCACATTTATGTTTTTATAATTTTAGTATATATACACATCCATAGAATATGTAGAATTGTATGTGTTTTGAAAATATATTTAAGAGATATCATTTTGGACACAGGTCATTTGGCAATATTTCCTTTTCACTTCACACTTTGGTTTCAAAAATTATCACTACTTTTTAATTGTGATGTGGTGTTTCATTACATGAAGATGCCACAGTATATCCATTTCTCTTTTGATGGGCACTAACTTTTTGTAATTTTTCTTATTAAAAACTTCTGTTCATGTCACTTTGTGCACAGGTGTGACAGTTTCTCTGGAGAGCTGGGAAAAGAAATCCAACAACAGTGAGTTAGTGATGTCAGAGGTTACTCTTTCCAATATCACAAGAGCCTGGAGGGAGGCATTCCCAGACTGCACAGCAGGTAAGCAATGCCAAGGGGATCCAGGTTTGGTCCCTCTCTCTGTTCTACTGTCCTTAGAGGATACACTTTTATCCTCAGGTTTGTTGTTTCATGGTCACAAAATAGTTACAGCAACTCCAGGCATTGTGTCATGGTACGGTCAGGAAAAAGGGAAAGGAACAAAAGTCCAAGAAAGCCATCTGGTCGTATTGTCTCTGTAAACCAGTTTCCTAGGAGCCCCACTTAGTGATTTTCACTTACACCTAATTGGCCAGAACAGGATCATGTGGATCAACCCTCAGCCAATTAGAAAAAAATTTCTGGATGGTGTGGGGCTGTAGAAGGGGGTTGGCTCAGTTGATCAGTTGAACCTGCCATACAGCCCAGAGAATCATGGCCAGGCCCTAGGACAGCGGTTCTCAACCTGTGGGTTGTGACCATCAAATAACACATATAGCATATCAGATATTTACATTATGATTCATAACAGTAGCAAAATTACAGTTATGAAGTAGCAACAAAAATAATTTTATGGTTAGGGATCACCACAACATGAGGAACTGTATTAAAGGGTCGCTGCATTAGGAAGGTTGAGAACCACTGCCCTAGGACCTGCACATCTTCAGTACTCCTAGGTGTTGTCAAAGTGATTTCCGAAGTGGTTAAACCAATTTATAGTCTTGCCAACAGAGTATGAAAGGTCAAATATCAAAGAATTATTATGAAGCTACTGCATGCACAAAACTGGATCAGGTCACTTATGAAAAAGCAAATAGAGAAACAAAAACCAAAAATCAATACTTCCAGAGCTTTAAGCAATGGAGCTTAGAGTACACTGTCAGATAGGCCTATTGGATTCCCTGCTCTGCCACCTACAGGCTGGTGATTCTAAGTTTTTCTGGGCCTCAGTTTCCTCATCTGTAAAATGGCAATAAAAGTACAGTGGGGCCTTGACTTACGAGTGTCCCGACTGATGAGTTTTTCGAGATACGAGCCGTCTCTCGCCGATTTTTCTTTGAGTTGAGAGCTAAATTTTGGGTTATGAGCCAGCTTCAGATACCCCACCGCTAGTTGGCGCAGCGAACGTCACAGTGAACACCACAACATCAGCCCAGCATCACGTGTCTCACTCGTTCACTTTAAGCGGTTAGCTCTTAGTTGAAGCATCAGTGTTGTGCTCACATTTGTGCTTGCAGTTATTTTGCAAAACTTCGTTTTTAGGTGTCCGGAATGGATTAATGGCATTTCAATTCATTGTAATGGTGAAAATTGATTTGACATACGTGTAATTTGAGTTATGAGCTCCGTCATGGAATGAATTAAACTCGTAAGTCAAGGCCCCACTGCAGCATCTATCTCATAGAGATGTTTCCACGATTAGAATAGAGAAAGTATCTATGAATGACTAGCATAGCCCCAGCCACAGAGGGAGGCTGCAATTAATGTTTCCTACTTATTTTAACATCATTACCTAGAGATTATATGTTACATGTATGTTGATCATATTTTTGAGCCCCAAATTAGGAAAAAGATATGACGCTTATGAGTTCTACTTATAGAAAAAATGGGTCCAAATATTTAAAATGGGACCATTCTGGAAAATGTGGGATGATTTCTGATGAGTTAATGTAAAGACTTATATCAAACCAGGGGCTTCACGTCATCTCTCTTTTCTAGAACATGCTCTTTAGGACGTAGAGCATGTTTCAAAATATGAGCCTCAAAGAGCAAAATTAAATAAATAAATAAAGTAGACTAATTGAGACCAAATGTTTATTACTAAACCCATATTTTGCTCTTCAATTTATAGATATAATTGTTGAGTTTTTCTTTTCTTTTTTTGTCTTTAAGCCCTCAGAGAACAAAGGTAAGAATGTGAGTCTCAAATTATTTTTTTTCTTTGTGATATTTAACAGTAAATGCTAAGATATGAATAATATGAAAAAGTGAGAAAGCAATGAATAGAATTAATAGATTTTTATGGGGAAAAGTTTAAGAAGCTGAAGTTATTAAATTCTGAGAAGGGAAAGCTAAAGGGAAATGTCATAATTATAATTCAGTCCCTGAGCATCCCCTTCGAGGGGACCAGAGGAAATGGAGTGGCTTTAAATGACTGGAGAAGGGACTGGAGGGCCCTTTAGGAAAGACTGTTCCAGTAGTAAGCACTGTTAAGCCTTCTCCCGGTTTCAAAATTACTGAGTGGCCTGAGAAAATAGACTTGGTATTATTTTTCTGCAATTGTTTATATCCCTTTCAGGTCATGAAACACTTGGTCTTCAAAATTTCATTATACAATTTCAAACCTTAAGAGAAGTGGCATGCTTTGTAGTTCTACTGGCACCATGTCTACTGAGACATCTAATTACATGTCAGGCACAATGCGAGACTCGGGATGTGGAAGAATGCCTGCTGGACTAGCTCCTGTCCTCATGAAGCCCACAGGCATTGCATTACAAAACTACGATGGATGCTGCACAGCCCAGGAAAGGCCACCGAGTTCTGGCGGAGGGGCCGGACATGGTGGTCCGGGCAGGCCTGTGGAGGAAGTGCAGCCTAAGCTGAAATCTGATGGATGAGCAGAAGTCAGTTGGGTGGAACTGGCAGCCTGTAGGAGGTGGAGAGGGAGAGGGGAGGGACAGAGGATAGCTTATTCTCTTCTGGGGAGAGTGAACCTGGGTGTGGCGCTCAAATGGAGAAATGCAGGGCCTGATCGCAGTTTACTGTAACCATTTTAGGGCTTATCTATTATTTTTCTTGTTGTCTTAACAATCATGATGTCATCATTTTATTTTAAAACTTGTTGAGAGGCTCTGAGAAAGAGCCCTGGTGGAACAAACCTCTCCTCTATTTTCTCCTTAGCTACATGGCTTTAAAAAAAAAACAAAGACTGGGTCCTGATTGGTGTGACACAGTTGGTTGGAGATTCATCCCGTACACCTAAAGGTTGTGGGTTCCATCCCAGTCTGGCATGAATGTTTCTGTCTCACATTGATGTTTTCCTTTCTCCCTTTTTCACTCTTCTTCCTCCTCTGTCTAAAATCAATAAGCATGTCCTCAGTTGAATATTTTAAAAAAAAATCAGAGTGGTGTAGGGCAGGAGGAAGAGTGGGGAGGGAGACAAGCAGGGCCTTGGCGGCTACATGAACCCGCCTCTCCTCCTCTCCTGTTTCAGTAGTTCATGTCAGACATCCACTGGGTTTGTGGCCATGAACTATGTCCCACATAGCATTTGGTCAAGAGACATGTGCTCTGGAGTTCAGGTGCCTGCTTTCAGTGGAGAATGACTGGCAGTGTGACCCTGAGCAAGTAAGTATACCTCTCTGGACCTCAGCATACCCATCTGTACAATAGGAATACAGTAGCCCTTTCTCATTGAATTGCTGTGAGTGTTAAATGAGTTAAGGTACAGAAGGTGCTTGGAACAGTGCCTGGTATGGTATAATAAATAGATGGTGAGCAATGACTATCATTATTGTTTATCTTATATAGAACCTGAGGCAGGGATCAATAATAACAATAGTTCTCATTGACTAAGCATTTATTCTTCTACAGTCATTGTGCTTTGCCTTTATTATCTCACTTAATATTCTCAAGCACCTCAAAAGGCCTCAGAGAGGGTTGGTAAGCTGCCAACATCAGGGGTGGTGTGGCCATTGCACCCAACCCAACCTTGTCCACTTTGACCAGGAATATTGGATCCTGGATCTTTTTACTTTCTACTCGAAGTGCCTTGTTTTCTTTAGAGCTGTGTTGGTAGACCTTTCTAGAACTGTGTGTTCAGTCTGGAAGTACGGTCGGCTCTTGTACAAACCTCCCAGCAGTTATATTAATAAACATGGCTCAGATAAGTACCAGGGAACTGGCCACCATAACCAAGGAACAGTCAGAGGAAAAGTACCCAAAGAATTTGTGTTCTAATATCAATAAACAGGCGTGGGCACACGGTGAGTGAGACTTGCTACCAGGGACATAGATGGTGACAGAGCAGAGAACAACCGTGTATTCTCCATCTTCAGCTGCTCACACGGGGCCCAGCAGTCCTGCTTCTGAGAAGCAGAAGGGACAGATCTCACAACTCCTGTGAGACCACGGGCCCAGGAGCCAAGCAAGTGCACAGACTTGCCGCTCCCACCAGGCTGTGCCTCGGGCTTCATCACTGCCAGTGAGGTGAGCATCGGCACCTGTTCTAGCTTCTCTGGACCCATTTCACTGGCCTGTGAGAGTGGGATATGGATACTCACATCCCCAACTCCTTGAGGATTTTTTCTAATGTTCATTGAAATGAAGAACACAGCACCTGTAATACCGTAGATTGCAATTGGTTAGCACTCAATGTTAGCGACCACTCTTCAGGCCTAGACACAGCATATTGAATGCTCTGTTTTTGGAATGATTACATCACTTTCCCAAAGGATCTTGGAGAATGTACTCTGATGCAAAAGGAAAGTGTAAAAAAGAAGAATTTCTAAGAGGGCAGAGACACTGTTCAGAGGGCTAGTGGGGAAGCCGTGGGCTGTGCTTGGGATGCAGCTTCTGGTATCTCTCCCACAGTAGACTGTGGTACCCCGGTGTTAAAGGAGCCTGAAATTTGGGGGGAGCATGATAGTACTGAGAGGTGAGAGAAGAAGGCTTCTTAGATGGGGAATAGGGTGGTCCTGTCTCTCCTTCCAGACGTAGATTAACAATGACTTAATTCCAGAAATATTGTCAGCAAGTAAAATAAATAGACTAATCACTGTGGGCAATTTGTATGTTAATGTATCTAGGCATTGTTTCTAGTCTGACCCTTAAATATACGTTTAATCAATCTAGATGGATGAGTCATCCTGTTCTTAATTAATCTTTTAGGACATTTATAGAGAAAAGGCAAAGTCTTTACAAAGACCTTATAAATGTGTTTAACTTTAGGATGGATTTTTATTTATGTGCATAGCACGAGCAGCCGTTACTTGGAAATGATGGCTTATTTTGAAAGTTCGCAGACCTTCAAAATGTTTTATTTCCACCCTTGGGGAAGGAATCAGGGGTGAGTTGAAAGGAAACACATGATGGCCATTTTCCATGGCACGAGCCGGCTAACCTTTCCAGAGCGTACATGTTTGTTTGGATTTTATAGCATTGCAAGCAGAGAACGGGAGAAAGAGACGGTGCCTTCGCTCTTCTGGAGGCTTGGTTGGTTAATGGTGTCACATCAGAGATTTGTCTTAGCTGGGATGACCCTGGGCTCAGTCTCCTTTGCCACAGAAATCATCACTATTACAAAAGCACTTCCCTGGATCCTAAAGGTTCTGGCTCTTACAACAAACACTAAGGCAGTGCCCAACTGCACTTGTCATGGGCTTTTGTTGTGTCAGACATTGCCGGGGATCAACCATCTGCTGGGACTCTGGGGTTCGTTTCTAGTGCTATTTGTTGTAGGGATGTCACTTAAATTGAAGTCAGTTCCTCTAAGACACCAGGCTCTGTGTGTGTGTGTTGCATTATCACTCATTCATCAGCTCCTCTTGTCCACCAGCATTTTGTGCTCCAGGGTCAATTATTTTTCTACTTCTGTGGTCCAGCTTTTAGCTTTTGGAATTCATGTGTATTGAGCATCTTTGTTGTAGAGCCTTTGGGCTAGGTGTTGTGAATGTAGTAGCACATACTATATGTTTGGAATAATCAGAATTCCAGATATCGATAAGTGCCATTAAAAAAAAGTTAAACAAGGTGCTGAGATAAGAATGGCATATTTGAGAGGCAGAGGTAAGTCCAGTATGGCTGGGAGTGGACAAGGAAAGGAGCAGGTTGAAATGCAGCCAGAGATGTGGGCAGGGACCAGATCACAGAGGGTGTCGAGGGGTATAATAAGGAATTGGATTTTACTTGAACTGCAGCAGGCAGCCATGGGAGGGTTTTAAGCAAGGGACTGGCATGATCTGATGTAGGCTTTAGAGAGATCTCTTTGGCAGTTGTGTAGAGCCTTGCTCCTCAGAGCCTGGCCTGGTGGTGGTCCAGCAGTGTGAGCATCATCTGGGAGCTTGTTAGAAGAGTCTTGAGGCCCACCCAAGTCTTCTGAAGCAGGATCTTCTCTTTTAACAAGATCTATGTTTGAGATGTGCTTTTGCAGAGAAATAATGGAGTAGGGCAAGGAAAACTCATCTCACAAGGTCCCCAACCTCACTGTCTTCTCAGGTATAGGAGGTAAGTCCTAGATCTTAAAGGGTGAACCAAACTTACTTTCAAATTCCACTTCTGATTGAACCATTAACATAGTAACTTCTTATTTGTTCGCTTATTTCTCTAGTTCTTAGGTAACTCTTCTTCTTTCCTTTTACCATCAGTTGAACTTGTGTGTGTGTGTTTGTGTTTCACTCATATTGGTTCTGTAATTCCCCTTAAGAAATTACCACTGTTTCCATCATAAATGAAGTGGCAGTTGCATAAAGTACCCATATCTTAATAGAAAGATAACTGGATCCTGTTACAAGGTTGGTATAAGGTTGACATTCATATTTATAGACTAGTCATTATTACTATTGGGTCTAATGCTGTTGGCATGTATGTAAGTTAGGATTAGGTTTGCCTTAAACAAGTAAACTTATAACAAAGGCTTATAGATAGAAATGTATTCTTTCTCATTTCAAAATCTGGAGGTAGGCAGTTATGATGGGGTTCTTATGAAAGTTCTATTCCAAGAAGACCTCAGGGATCCAGACTTGCTCTATCATATTGTTCCACTGTGTTCCTCTATTGCCAAGGTCACCTCATGGTCCAAGATGGCTGCCTTACCTTCAGCCAACATATTAAAATTCCAGCCATCAGGGCAGAAGGAATAAAAAGGACGGTGCAAAGAAAGCACGGCAGCAGACTTTTCAAGAAGATTCCCCTTACAGAGTATTGGCCAGAATTTAGACAAATGGCCCTAACTCTGGTAAGTGCAGTCTTTGTTTTGGGTGGCTAGATACCCAGGTTAAAATCAGCAATCTCTTACTATAGAGAAAGGGAAAGCAAGTATTAGGGAACAGCTAGCAGCTCCTAACACAGCATGTTTCAGGAATGTGATTTGACATATCTAAATATATAATGGTACCTCCCCACTAAATTTAATCTAGGCTGAATATTTTGCACCATCATCTCATTATGGTGTTTTGTAATTCTTTCCACTTTTCTTTCCAAAGAAAAAGAGGTGTCTGATTTAGCAAGAATGCATTTCTGAATTCAAAGTTGAAATGTGAAGATAATCCTCACCCACTTGAAATAGGATAAAAGAAAATCCCCTGATAGCGGGAAATAGGCAAAGTTCTATTAACACATGTATCTTTTCCTGAGCTTGGTCTTTATGCAACAAAGGAATTGGAGGTAATCTACCCCTCATCCTACAGTTAGTTTCTGACTCAGCAACTGCAGGTGCTATTGTTACCATCAAGGGAATGAAAAGGGTGCAAACAGACATGGGACTTTCAGAGGATTCTATCCCTTAATTTAAAAATTTAGGTCTGGAAAGGGTATGTTTAAAATGTTTTAGTGCTCTGGCTGGGAGGACAGGCTGTGGAATCAGCTAGGCCAGAGCTGAGCAGTGAGCTGGTTACTTTTGAGCAAATAATTGCTGATCTCAGAACATACGCTAGTTAACTGGAGATGAGTTACCATCACTGAAGGGTTCATTTGAAAATTAAATGAGAAATTGCATGTAAAGCTCTTAGAACAAAGCTTATTCCATTGTAAATATTCAAAAAAATGTTGGTTATTACAAATTCAGCCCACATATAAATTAAAAAAGAAGAAAGAAATCTAGCTGTCCTGGCTCAGGCTTCAGACTTTTCTAAAATCTCTCAAACAAGCAACAGCTTGTGTCAGCATGCCCCATACCTATCAATAAGAGGCCCAAGACCTGGCACTGGCACCAGCCTGCCTTGTTTACAGGTTGGCCTCACCTGGGCAGTCCAATCCCAATACAAGTAGCAGCCATCTGCAAATTTCCCTGTAGTTCCAGAGGCCCCAGGCAGTGGCTGACTTTGCACCTCACAGGAGGCCCCAGAGCCAGTGCACCCCACAGACAGCTTCAGACTGATTACAACTCTAAAAATTCACAAGTGACACACTCAAAGGCCAAACTCAATGAGCACCAAAGCACTACTGAAGAAAGTCCTGCTCCACAAGGGTTTCCCCTGCATAGCAGCTCTTTCATTGTAGTTGCAGCTGGTCCTCACAGCCAATTGGCCTAGAAGTCAACTCTCTTCAGTGACACCAACATCAATCCAGGCTCAACTACAACGAGACAGTGCACACAGCTCACACAGCAGGACACCTAGAAAGCCTAGCTC